CCTGTGATTGTAAAACGACACTTGAAGTTACACCGCATAAGTTTCTTTTAAACTATAAATCAAATCTTTATTTCAAGGTAAAATAACGACTATTTTCAACCTTTTTTGGATGAGGTATGAAAAGATGAATTATGAAGAGTAATGGCGATCGGAAAAATAAAAGTGTCCAGGGGCGGGAATCGAACCCACAACCTTCTGCTTACCGGGCAGGTGCCATGTCCACTAGGCTACCCTGGACGTATTCCTCCGATCGTAACTAATGTTCGGTACACTTTTTGAATGGTACACTATGACAGGTTCGTTTGGTATTGAAAGAATGATTCAATTAATCATCCTTGATATTTTAAATTTTATTCAGGATAAATATAGATATAAATATTATGTTACAAATTAATTTTAGTAATTAAAGAAGTTAAAAATGTTCGATTGAAAAGGATGGATTGGGAAGGAAGTCAGTCCGTGTTGGCCGTCAGAATTCGAAGGGCCCACGCCCGTGCTTCCCACGTGACCGCCGCCGCCGCGCATGCGCGCCGACCGTGACGTCGCCACCACCGCCGGCGATGGTGTTGGTTGAAAACTGTTCTTCTCTTCGTCGCGCGGGCGTGCCTTCCACTAACATTCTCCCACCAATTTAATTGATAAATTAAATTCTAATACTATATTTTCTTGGCTATAGTAGAGGCCAATCTAAATTTGTTTTGTTTCTAATGGAAAAAGTCGCTGTACTGGACGAAGAAAAACTCCCGATGATGTCTTCACTCTTGCGACTCGAACTTGTCCATCGGCCCCAGGTAGCACCTCCTCCACTTTTCCTAATGGCCATGAAATCCTTCTCCCCCTATATATATATTTTTTCTTTTTCTGTTGAAGGGTGTGACGACTGCCTTTCTCAGTTCACTATTGACTTCTTCGATTGACTCCTTTTCTGCAGACTGTGTCCAAAATTGTTCTTCTTTCTTAAGCCTAACTGGTCTCTCCCACCATCTAGTAGTAATCAATTGCGAGATTGAAGCTCCACGTGAGGGGATCTCTGCAGGATTTTCTTTACCAGGAACGTGCCTCCAATCAGTTATGCTTGAATTTTGTCGAATCTTCTTTACTCTTCCTGCGACAAACACTGACCAGTTCATATCACGTTTAAACCCCTGCTAAAGCAGTAGTAGATTCAAGTTATTCTCCGAAATTAGCTTGTAATTAGGGAGTGGTGGGTGTTCTCCTATCCAAGGTAAATTGGCAGAATATCGACCATCTTCATTCTGTTTCACTGTTTTGTTGAAATGTTCCAACGCTGCAACTGACAACTCTTCTTTGCTCTTTTCCTTCATGGGTTTCATGATACTGATAACATCTAATCTCCGAAGATCTTGTATTGTTGCATCACGGACTAAGCATGACAGAACTGATGATTGAGATTTAGTTGTTTGAACATTTCCCAAAACCTTACCACTAACAGTCCAGCCCAGCTTCGTTTCGAGAGCGACGGGACCAGATTCCAATTCTATTTTCTTTCCTGTTAGTAGCTTGGCGTATACGTCTGCTCCTAGTAGTAGTTCAATCTCCGTGTTCGACCTATAGACATCCAAGTCAATTCCCTTTGATCGAAGTTCCGTCATCCATTCGGTAGGTTGAGCGGAAGGCATTGCACTACAAATCGTTGAGCAGTCTTGTACTTCAAAATTGCAGTTGTACTTGGAGTCCACATCAGAAATGTAGATTCGATACCGCTTGTGCTGCTGTGGTCTCGATTTCACTCCACCAAATAGTAAGTGTACAACTTCCTTTTTCCCGAGCATAGTGAGTCCAACTTCGGAAGCAGTTTGTTCCAATACATATGAGTTCTGGATCCACTATCTAACATTGCTCGAACAACTTTTGATTTATTTTCGCCATTAATCTTTACCATGATTGTTTGAAGTAAGACATCTTGGCACCGAATTTGATTCGACATGTCCACGGATGCATTTATGTTCTTACTTCTCTCTTCAATCCCATCAGATTTTTGGCTGCCTTTTGAAACTGGACATAAGATTGCCCTGTGTTTTTTACTACAGATGACACATTTCACAACGTTTCTGCAATACTTGGAAAAGTGTCCGGGCTTCAAGCAAGAATAACAACACTGTTTCTCTTGAATTATTTTCCTTCTTGCTTCAAGAGACATTGACATGGCTTTACAGCATTGTTCACTCCAATGTTTTCCATCACAAAATACACATTTATAAGCGTTATTTGACTTCCCATCAGCAACTACCAGACTTGCAGCGGTGGCGACAGATGTCTTCGGCTTGGGCGGCTTATCTCGATTAAATTGTGATGGATACGAACTCGAAAACGGTTGACGAGCCAAACGCATTCTTTCACTTCCCTCAACTTCGTGTTTTAGGAATTCCATAAGCTTCTCCAGGAGGGCTTCACTTGAATTATGCTTTCCATCTTCATCAGGCTTGTGATGATGACGAGTCCTTTCCCACGCGACGAAGAGATCTTCAGGTAAAGCTGATTCCACCATGGGGTACAGAATAGCAGCGCATTTATCTGTTGTGACTCCTAAAGACCCCAACGCTCGTAGTTGTGATGATAACCGAACGTATACAGTCGAAAAAGATGTCGTGTTCCTTCCATGAGCATTTTCCAAAATGATAGCAATCAAATCCCTTACGTACACTTCCACCAACATGTCTTCACGGCCAAAACGTTCCTTAAGAGTGCTGATGGAAAGTGGATAATTTGCCGCTGAGTTTGGAAAGGATGAAACTATTTCCTCCGACACCGATCCCTTTATCATGCAATTTTGTAGGTATTGGAACTTGACACAGGCCGAAATGGAGTCATCATCGTGGACGCTTTGAAAGGCTGACCAGAACTGCAGCCACTCCCGTGCTTGTCCTCCAAATTTCGGTAGTTCCAACTTCGGAAGTCGATGAAGATTTGACTTTCCTTCGTTCCCCCCGGAAACTATTGATTGTCGGTCTACTGTTGGTTTTGCTAGCAATTGTTCCATTTTTTGCAAAACGCCTTCAGACCTTCCAAATAGATTCGCTTGAACGATATCGACATCTTCAATTTCTTCATCTTCTCTATCCGCCTTTATCAGTTGTTCGATGAGACAATCACTGGCAATTAAGAACCTGTCTTTACATCTGAGGAGCTTTGGTCGTAGAGACATCAACATTTCTAGGCTTGGTTCTTACTTTCCAAGTTCGCCATCTGCTTCTGCAATAACACTTTCCAAAGTCCTCTTTTTCGTCTCACAAGCTTTCTTGAGTTTGTCCATCTTAAATCCTGCAGGGCTCGCCACAATGTTCGGTACACTTTTTGAATGGTACACTATGACAGGTTCGTTTGGTATTGAAAGAATGATTCAATTAATCATCCTTGATATTTTAAATTTTATTCAGGATAAATATAGATATAAATATTATGTTACAAATTAATTTTAGTAATTAAAGAAGTTAAAAATGTTCGATTGAAAAGGATGGATTGGGAAGGAAGTCAGTCCGTGTTGGCCGTCAGAATTCGAAGGGCCCACGCCCGTGCTTCCCACGTGACCGCCGCCGCCGCGCATGCGCGCCGACCGTGACGTCGCCACCACCGCCGGCGATGGTGTTGGTTGAAAACTGTTCTTCTCTTCGTCGCGCGGGCGTGCCTTTCACTAACAACTAATATTTAAAGTAACTTATAATACAATATAATATACTGCGGCCTGTGATTGTAAAACGACACTTGAAGTTACACCGCATAAGTTTCTTTTAAACTATAAATCAAATCTTTATTTCAAGGTAAAATAACGACTATTTTTAACCTTTTTTGGATGAGGTATGAAAAGATGAATTATGAAGAGTAATGGCGATCGGAAAAATAAAAGTGTCCAGGGGCGGGAATCGAACCCACAACCTTCTGCTTACCGGGCAGGTGCCATGTCCACTAGGCTACCCTGGACGTATTCCTCGGATCGTAACTAATATTTAAAGTAACTTATAATACAATATAATATACTGCGGCCTGTGATTGTAAAACGACACTTGAAGTTACACCGCATAAGTTTCTTTTAAACGATAAATCAAATCTTTATTTCAAGGTAAAATAACGACTATTTTTAACCTTTTTGGATGAGGTATGAAAAGATGAATTATGAAGAGTAATGGCGATCGGAAAAATAAAAGTGTCCAGGGGCGGGAATCGAACCCACAACGTTCTGCTTACCGGGCAGGTGCCATGTCCACTAGGCTACCCTGGACGTATTCCTCCGATCGTAACTAATATTTAAAGTAACTTATAATACAATATAATATACTGCGGCCTGTGATTGTAAAACGACACTTGAAGTTACACCGCATAAGTTTCTTTTAAACTATAAATCAAATCTTTATTTCAAGGTAAAATAACGACTATTTTTAACCTTTTTTGGATGAGGTATGAAAAGATGAATTATGAAGAGTAATGGCGATCGGAAAAATAAAAGTGTCCAGGGGCGGGAATCGAACCCACAACCTTCTGCTTACCGGGCAGGTGCCATGTCCACTAGGCTACCCTGGACGTATTCCTCGGATCGTAACTAATATTTAAAGTAACTTATAATACAATATAATATACTGCGGCCTGTGATTGTAAAACGACACTTGAAGTTACACCGCATAAGTTTCTTTTAAACGATAAATCAAATCTTTATTTCAAGGTAAAATAACGACTATTTTTAACCTTTTTTGGATGAGGTATGAAAAGATGAATTATGAAGAGTAATGGCGATCGGAAAAATAAAAGTGTCCAGGGGGCGGGAATCGAACCCACAACCTTCTATTTTTCCGATCGCCATTACTCTTCATAATTCATCTTTTCATACCTCATCCAAAAAAGGTTAAAAATAGTCGTTATTTTACCTTGAAATAAAGATTTGATTTATCGTTTAAAAGAAACTTATGCGGTGTAACTTCAAGTGTCGTTTACAATCACAGGCCGCAGTATATTATATTGTATTATTAGTTACGATCGGAGGAAATACGTCCAGGGTAGCCTAGTGGACATGGCACCTGCCCGTAAGCAGAAGGTTGTGGGTTCGATTCCCGCCCCTGGACACTTATTTTTCCGATCGCCATTACTCTTCATAATTCATCTTTTCATACCTCATCCAAAAAAGGTTAAAAAATAGTCGTTATTTTACCTTGAAATAAAGATTTGATTTATCGTTTAAAAGAAACTTATGCGGTGTAACTTCAAGTGTCGTTTTACAATCACAGGCCGCAGTATATTATATATATATATAAATAAATTTTAAATATAGAATCACTATTATATTTTTATTTTATAGTTTTTACACTATATATATATATATATATGTAGTATATTTTGACATAGATAAATCATAACCTTCTTCTAATATTTATTATAACACCATATCTATATAAAAATGTATCGATCTTGTAAAAATAGTGACAAATAAAATAAAGGGGTAAAGGTAGACCAAGACGACACCATGGACAAGACGACAAAGGCCAGACGTGATAAACAACCCGGCGCCTAACAGGTGTTTATGATAATGAGTTCATTCCCCCGTCAGCAGGTGGCCGAACAGGTGGGCCAGACATAATTAATAACCCAGCGCTTCACAGGTGCGTGATTACGGGAACCAATCAAACGCGCCACCACATGCCAGAGTCCAGTATATAAATAGCCCAGAAATGGGACAAAGTTAGTAGTTAGTTAGTTGGTTTTCAGAGCGACGCCGTCATACGGTCGGGTTTCTCACCCCTATCCGCGATGTAGGGCATCCGTGTCGTCCATGGTCTGACTACCTTCGTCCGTAGTCTACCTCTACCTTCTTGGAGTTACCATCTAGACCTGCCTCTGTCTCTTGCTGCCCCAGTGCGGGAATCCCATCACGCACCCACTACCACGACTGCCCAGTACATTCCGCATCGGGATTACTACAGAACCCGTTAAAGTCGCCAGGATGACTGAGGACAGCAGCATGCAGAGGATGACGGAGGTCGAAGACGAATACGTCGCGGATGCCCTCACCAACATGCAACCCCCACTGCGAAGACCTAGTAAGCCGCCTAAAAGACGCCATGCGAGGACTAGCTGCACCTCGCAGCGAGAAGGTCATCATCGCCCCCATCAACATCTCCTGCGCCACGAACTTCTTCCTCCATCAGCTCGAACAGGCAGACAAGATTCATCGAGAAATCCTGGCATTGCCCCGCCAACCAGCATCGACGATGTCCCATGGCAACCACCGCAAAAAAGATCACCAAGCCTCATCGCAGCCCACTCCACAAGACCCATTCAAGACATCCATCTGGTAGGACAATTTTCTCTACAGAACTATTTAATGTAACACTATCTCCGTTTGCTCTGAATTAATTATTCGATACCATTTTAATAGCAATAACATTATTATTATAAATCCTTCAAGTTCATTATTTTACCATTTTTATTGGATTTCGATTCAAATTTTAAATCTTGTACACCCTCATTTATCAATTTTACTTTATTTTAAGCAACTTTTAAATTTTAATTCATTAATTTCAATTTTACATTAAAAAATCATATTGTATTTTAATTACTCGAATCATATTTTCTAAACTTATTTGTGTGTTTTTTTAATACCTTATTTATAGCCATAATATTAATAATTAAATTTATTACGCTCTTTATTTTTGACCTATTACTATTTCAATTGATATTTCTCAATATTTAAAAGTTTTAAAAACTAGTCCTAGATTTGTATTTTTATAAATATCAATTTTAAATTATCTCATCTCATAATGTGCGTCCCATTTTTCCCACAATTATAATACAACTATAAATGTAATATGCGAAAACTAAATAACATACCATAAAATTTCCATATCCCATTGCATTTCATTCCTGCCTGTGTTAAATTGTATTTTACGTATTAAATACATTTTTATTTCGCACTTCTACAATGTTCACATCAATTTTAATTCCTCTCGCATATCCCATATCCCATTAACACATTTCGCATAATCATAACACATTTATTTATACACTAATTAATTAATTAATTCTTTTATAGCCTACTTTTTCCCAATTATTCACACCCACGATTTCAATATTACAGATTAAAGTTTATATCCTTCTAACAGAGGAACCTGCCAGATTAAAACGGATAGGAAAATGATATAAAATCCTTTTATACCAAATCTTAAATTTATAATGTTATAGGATAGTTTATAATTTTTGTCAACCCCGTTTAAAAATTAGGTCCCCACTATCTCTAAAAATCGATCCTGTACATGACACCATGTGAGACGCCATCTTGGCCCCCGTAAATGGACAATTAAATCCCCAAAACGGCGTCCATCGCCACGACAATATTCCAATCTTCATCCCAACGACAAACAGATCAAGGACGCACTGAACTCCCCCCTAATTGTTTTTTTTTCTTCTACTTCGTCTTTCCCTCCCTACTTCTAAAGGGGTGGAATGACCTTTGCATCCATCATTAGCATCCATCATTAGCAGAGGTAATCTTTCTTACTTCAATCACTCTTACCTGTCAATCAGTCAATTATAGGCCTTCCATACTTCTCTTCGTCTCTTGATCATTTTCCATTGGCCTTCTAGGCCTTCGTTCTAACCACCCCTCGTCCATCGCAGAGTTCCTGTTTGCCGATTTTTTTTATTTACACCCAGGTCGCCGTCCCAGCATTCTTTATTTCATTCTTTTTTCCTCAAACCCGGGTTCAATCAATCAATGGCAACAGTCGAGCCCATTTTCACAATCTACCTCCATCCTCTAACCTCTTCAACGGTTACTGAGACTCCTGCTCGTCAACATTTTTTAATTTTTCATCGACCTGGTACACTCTTCCTCCCCATGTTAACTCCACACGGAGAGCTTGGGTAACCAGCGAGATTTTTTTTTTCTCTAATGCTCGACCCAGGCCATCATCAACACGATGCGCCCACTCATTTTTCGTTTAGTTTTATTTTTCATCTGGTCGAACTCAATCACCGACAGCAGCGCAGCTCTTGAACCGCCATATATCTCTTTTTAACCTCTATCAGAAAATATTTCTTTCCCATATTCTCCCATTAACTACCTCTCCTTCGATCTTCACGCCTTTTGCCCATCTGATCTAATGCTACTTACAGAGCATCTTGAGATTGCTGACCCCTGAAAACAATACCTCGCTTCTAAGCTCGTATTGCAGGGCAGGACTCCTGAGATGTCCTTTGCAGAAACCAATTCAGACCTTCTTCCTTTATTCCTCACTGCGTCACTACCTATCGCAACCCTTTTGGTTAAGTCAATTTTCTTTTATATTTTATCTTACTTTTATTATCTCTACTTCTCCCCCTTCCTGTATTACATCCCTGAAACTATGTTGTAAATACTTAAGGCACCTTAAATAACAAAAAACTGTAACTAGTATACCAACTTTCCCAAATATTTATTTTCGCTATTGTGTGTGTTTACTTTAAATTTATCCTTCCTTTGTACTCCTCTTATATATTTTTTTGTAGTTTTATAATACTATATCAATGTGTCACCACTACTCCCCTTTATCTTTATTTTATTCTAGTAACTAATTTGTGCCCCAAATTATTTCCCATTTAATAGGTTTGCTAGCTTTTCCCTCATTTATTGTAAATAGACTTACAGTTACCTAGTTTTGTGGTTGTTGGACTTTGTTTTTTAACTTACAGATGTAGATAAAACATTTCAATATTAATCGATAATATCATATTGTTTATTAATGCCTTCAACTACCAATCATGTCATGTTTAGACCTAGCATTTTACAACTTCAACTATTTTAGGCACCATTTTAAAAACCTACACCTAACAATTATTATAATATTCCTTAAACAGATAAAACACTTATCATTTTATTTTTCTTAATAGATTTTCAAATGTTATTTTTGACGCTTCCCTTACAACCTCTAACTCTATCCCATGAACCTTTCCTCCCACTTTTACATCCAACAAGAGATTATTGTTCGTCAGCCATTTTCTTTTTTTTATTGATTAAACTAACTTAAAGACCCTTCCTCGCTGTACATTTCCCAACAGTGAGCTCAGGAGACCCAGTTAGGTTTTATTTTTTTTTCTCGTCATCGTCCGGCTCATCATTTTTTCATCTTTCAACTTTTTTTTCACCACACAAGCCGGACACTATCAAAATTGACAGCAATAATTCTCTTACACCCACCTCTCCTTTTCCGCATCCTTCAAACCTCCAACCTTCCAAGGGATTCCAGTTCGCCGAACATTTTTGTTTTTTTCATTGATTAATCCGACTGGAACAATCCTTCCTCACTATACCATTCCCAATAATGAGTTCAGGATATCCAGCGCGATATTTTTATTTTTTTTTCTCATCGCCCGACGCATCATATCAATTCATCATTTTTTCAACTTTTCACTTTTTTTTTTCACAATTCAAACCGGCACAATCATTATGGACAACAGGGATCCCTCTTACCTCTACCTCTCCCTTTTACCTCCATCAATCTTCCCACCTCTTTCACTGTCTGAGCTAATGATGCAGACGGATTATCTTAGGCTTTCTGTTAATAAAAAAAATGCCTCACTTAAACAAGTTCGCATTGCATTGCAGGATGCTTGGGATACTACTTTGTAGAAACATGCTCAGATATACCCCTATCCCTTTTCAACCTTAGCGTCACATTATACGTTCAGTCAATAAACTAACTTCATTTTTTTCTCCTCTCATCTTTAATGCCATAAGATATTATTTTCCTTGTACGATTCATTTTAACATATTTACCATTTTGTATTATATACTTTCCCTTAATCTTTTATCATTCATTTTGTGCGTTTTTATTCTTATAACCTTAAATTTTATTTCATTGATATACCACCATTACAACATCTTTCTCCTTTTAACTTGTAACTTAATAATAATTTTAACTATTTGTATACAAAAATTATTTCTTTTATTTTTTATAATAGGTTTGTTAGGTCATCATTCATTACATGTCATTCCCCCAACCAAACCTTCATCACCGGGGACACATCTGTAGTATATTTTGACATAGATAAATCATAACCTTCTTCTAATATTTATTATAACACCATATCT